GAGGCTATAGTTTTTATACGCCCACATGAAAATGTTGTACACTATCCTTGTCTGGCCGTTTTTCACAATTTCTTGGGAACACTCTACAGACTACATTTATCATCTGATTGTTTTGAAATTTATATATATTGTTTACATTAGTGAGACAAAGAAGCCTATTTAAAGGAGCTAAACCTTTAACTCAGTATTTTCCATGATATTTGAAATTTAAGACAAAAATTAGAATTCAATATTTAATATTGGTCTATTTCAATCAATATTGGGGGGTTGAATGGCCGAATGGTTAGCGTGTATGTGGTGTATCATAAGGTCTGTCATTGAGTCAACTGGCATGGTTTTGATTCCCCGTTTGTACCTGACAAGAAGTAGGGTCACCTGTCCAACCTCATGGGTTTTCTCCGGGTCCTCTGGTTTCCTCCTACTGCTAAAGACCCCTACGCGTAAGCGAATTATTGAAATAGAATTGAACCATATGTTGATATTTCTTTATGCTTGAGCACCCTACATTTATGACAACACTATTTGATTGTTTCAGTGATCCAATGTAATAAGTACTGGACTGAGCTGAAACTTTATGTTTCTTTATCAGTGGCGACCCTAGGGCCCCCTCCCTCTGAAATTTCCTTTGAGAAACATTTGAAAGAAACTGAAACGAAAACTCCAGTATGTTTATAGAATTAATATTGGCCTAATCATAATATTACATGTATTTGATATTTTGCTGTACATTGTACATAAATAAAGACAGATATATATGATTACATAACTTTGTTCATTTCTACAGAATAGATCCTACGTTTCTTAATAGAATGGGCTGTAGAGTTTGAAGGGCCAAAATCCATTTTTGCAAAAGGATCGGATCACTGTCAATCCACCCCAGAGTAATTGAACCATATGTTAGTCCCGAAATGGCCTAGTTTGTGTCGAGTGGACGTTAAACCCCATTTCTCTCTCACAATCAATATTGATGTTGTCATCCTGCAGTGAAAATATGCGATCCTAATATCCAATATTTAAGACATAATGAAGATTTTATAATTAGTACACGAGTCATGTATATTGTGGTTTCAGATGTCATTTGTAATGAACAAAGAAAAGCATATACTACAAGACAATGTGGAAGGAAGTAATTACTAATGGCTGATTGAAAAACGACAAAATAATAATAAAAAAAAATTGGATTAAGCATGCGTAAACGACAAGACAATGTGGAAGTTATTAGTAATGGCTGATTCAAAAACGACAAAATAATAAGAAAACAAGACAATGTGGAAGGAAGTAATTACTAATGGCTGATTCAAAAACGACAAAATAATAAGAAAAAAAAAAATTGGATTAAACATGCGTAAATGACAAGACAATGTGGAAGTTATTAGTAATGGCTGATTCAAAAACGACAAAATAATAATAAAACAAGCCAACAGTAAGGCTGATGTCCCCCACCTGAATATCAAAATAAATAGATGACACATTAATTAATAGCACATTTATTTTTTTTTTCAAAAGTATCAAGCAATCAAACTGATTATCAACTATACACTATGTTTCATCACTCTCTATCAGATAGAATCAAAGTCATCTTGTCCCAAAGCATCGAACAATCAAATTGCTTAGCTTTAGCTCGAAATGTTAATCATTGAACTCGGTCAAGACATTCACCTAAGGAACATCTACATCAAGTTTGAACATTCTACCACAATTAAAAGCAGAGTTGTTATGTTCTAAAGTCTTGACCAATCAAATTGCTTATCGCTCCTTAGTCTTGAGCAGAAAATTCTCATCATCGAACTTAGTCAAGGTAATGATATAATGAATCTATACTCGGAGTTTCATCACTTTCACTTAATTAAAACTAAAGTTATCGTGCCCCAAATTGCTTATCGCTCTGCTTACTTTGAGCAGAAAATGCTCATTATCGAACTTAGTCAAGTTATTGTTGTGATAAAACTATACACAAAGTGTCCTCACTCTCACTTAAAGTAGCTAAGTCTCTAACTCAATATCATCAAAAATCTTTGACATTGAAAACACAAATTATTTGTCAATTCAAATCAACATTGGTCTTGTGATCTTAGAGGGAAATGATGGGCTTCTGATATCCAATATTCAAGACAAAATAAACATTTTACCATTGGTAAACGAATCGTGTACCATAATGCGTTTCAGCGCCATTTGGAACAAGGGACTCAAAGAACAGGGCTAGACATATTCTACAAGTCACTTCAAATGGTGACGCTATATTTTATCTGGAGAGCATGCACAATAAATACCATCGGTGTAGACTGGAAAAACCAGACGCTAAAGATTGCCATTTACAGGAGACTTCTGGCGTATTTCGCCGAACATAACTGATTAGAAACTACATGTACAGTAAAAACAGAAACGATTGAATGTAAATCAGTTTATATACATTCATATTACATTATTATATGCTTTGCGACCCATTTTTGTCAATTTCTAGGTCCCAGAACTAAAGTTATCGTGTCCCAAAGCATCAACCAGTCAAATTGCTTATCTCTGCTTACCCTTAACAGAAAATTCTCCTCTTTCAAATCCATCAAGGCATTCACCTAATAAACACCTACGCCAAGTGTCAACATTCTAGCTCAATTAGAAGAAGAGTTATTGTGTTCCAAAGTCTCGAACAATCAAATTGCTTATCACTCTCCTTACCCTGAGCAGAAAATGCTCATTATCCAACTTAGTCAAGGTATTGATGTGATGAAGCTATACACCAAATTTCATCACTCTCACTTAATTAGAACTAAAGTTATTGTGTCCCAAAGCATCCACCAATTTAAATTGCTTATCTCTGCTTACCCTAAACAGAAAATGCTCATCTTCGAACTCCATCATTCAAGGCATTGACCTAATAAACATCTACACCAAGGTTGAACATCCTAGCTCAATTAGAAAGTGAGTTATTGTGTTCCACAATGTGTGACGGACAGACAGACAGACGGACGAACCCATTTTAATAGTCCCCTACTTTCTTCGAAAGGTGGGGGACAAAAATAGATTAAACATGCGTAAAGACGGTCATTCAGTTTGGACTGTTTACGTAATTCACCAAATAAAAGATAGAATTAAAATAATTATTTAAAAAAATTAAATATAAATCACTTTATATACATTCATATTACATTAATGTGCTTTTAGTAAAATGTATGGGACAAAGAGTAGGGTCACCAGTCCAACCTGGTGGGTTTTCTCCAGGTCCTCCGGTTTCCTCCAACTGCTAAAGTGAATTATTGAAATAAAATTGAATCATGTGTTAGTCCCAAAATGCCCTAGTTTGTGTCGAGTGGACGTTAAACCCCATTTCTCTCTCTCTCTCTCTTTAGTAAAAACTTTAGACCCATTTTCGTCTATTTTCATTCTCCAAGGAATACCATACGCCCTTTAATTTCAACAATTTCTGTTAATTTCTTCTAGCATTATGGCCCTTGTTTCACTTTGTTGCAGCTTGACATGCTCTAACGCCAAAAGTTATGATCCACTCTCTAATAGTATGTGCAGGGGGACTGCACCACACACAAATAATTACACAAGACAAATTTACAGACAAGACACAATACGCAGAAAACACAAACAAACCTACATATCAGATTTAGTGAATTGATATGGGGGCTAGCCTTAAGCATCCACTGGGCTGTACAGTCCCATCCGGGCCTGTATTGATACAGACTTCACTCAAAAATTAAAACTAACAGTAAGGAGGGATATATCCCAAAACGTATAATACTAGTACGAGTCATGATCTGCTATATTCCACATGAAATATAAATGTAAGCACATTGAAGGAAAATTTCCTATACATGTACAAGTAACCATATCGGTGAAATGTATTAAAAAGCCAATACAATTAAATGGCCTATGTTATAGTGAGAAACATTATAAGCATTCAAAAGAATTGAGGTGTATTAATTACAAAATTAGAGCATATGTCCTTATTACCAAAAAACAGAGGAAAAAACAATACTGAATACAAGAAAGCAAACCGAAGATGTGTGACTTGTCTTGACAACGGTTGTCTGCTAAAAGACGGTAGTTTGCCAAATGAAGTCATAAGTTAAAATGTAACAAAAACAATAATAAAAAAGGCGATAAGACACTACCAAAAGGTTAAAAAAAACTATCAATTTAGGAACAAATCGGTAATATCCAGCTGTGTAATTACATAAAAATGAAATATATTAAGTAATAGATAGACCTATAAGAAATGTAAAATAGGTATGTTAAAGAATTGGAACTATAAAAGTGTATTTGAATAAAGGCATACAATAAGGGCGATAATCCAAATACACGTACAATTAGAAAACTACTAAAAATTTAAATGTATATATTCAATTAATATCATTAAATTTATATACATCATTTATATATCAGCAATTTCAGTTAATTACTTTTAGAGTTATGGCCCTTGTTTCGCATTGTTGAATCTTGTCAACACTTTAATGACAAAAGTTATCATCCGATCTGTATCAAGTTTATATGCATCATTTAAATTAGTGAATCAGAAGAAGCCTATTGAATTTCAACAATTTCTGTTAATTACTGCTAAAGTTATGGCCCTTATTCCACTTTGTATATGAGACGATCCTTGTCAACTGCTTGGACGATTTAGCTGCTGTGGGCATATTTTTCGTTGCCTGGCAACGTATCTTTAACAGATACTTTTCAAATTTGGTTTGAAGCCTTGTGGCCATTAAGAGGACAAACCCAGAGTTATCCCCCTTTGCCGAAATATCAAATTTTATCAACATCCGAGTTTTCCTTTCGGATAAGCTGCTGTTGAGACATTGCTGCTGTGTGAGTGTATTTCCACATTTTGCATGGCTATCTTTATTTTATTTTAAAATTAGTGCTGTTCATCAAGTTTTAGTGTCTTGTAAACACTCCCTTTGTGAACTGCCTGGATGACTTAGCTGCTGTGGACTTATGTTTCTTTGCCTGGCAACCTATCTTTGAATAATTTATGGTGAATATTTTTATTCCAGAAATTAGAAACAGCATTATCTTGAAGAAAGAGTTACCAGTACCTAATATCAGTCAACCCTTGCAGAGAAAATATTTTTTAGGTAATTCTTATTCCAAGATATAATGATCCTGCCTGCATAACATTCAAAAATGATGATTGTTTTAACAAAATTTATGTGGTCGTTGTTAATGTTAGTGTAGCCTAGTGCGAAATGATACTTTGTAAGTGAAGCAAAGGACTATTAAATATTATTCTTGAGTAGAAAAAAAATAAAAATATTTAAACAAGAAAAACTGTATGCACATCACATTACTCATACCAGGTACTGTACTTGGCGAAATCTGAATAGGCAGATGTTGAGCAGTAGAGCAAGGCAGGAAACTGAAATGGAAAAAAATGTACATGTACTGTAATACCTTTTTTTTTGCACTTGACAAAAATACCTTATTTTCATGTTTGAATCATTCAGGAAGGTAAAATAAATTGTAAAATTAAACAGTTTGACCTACACAATGACGACTACTGGTAATCTGAAAAATACAGTATGTAATGGACATGGCTTGTATGAAACCTGGAGGTTGGGTGGCCGAATGGTTAGCACTTACGCGCTGTATATGATGCTTGTCATTGAGTTAACTGGCGTGGTTTTGAATCCCTGGTTGAAGATGACCAGGAGTAGGGTTGCCTGTCCAACCTCGTGGGTTTTCTCTGGGAATACGGGTTCCTCCCACTGCTAAAGACCCCCACACGCAAGCGATTATTGAAATAAAATTAAAACCATGTTAGTCCCGAAATGACCCAGTTTGTGTTGAGTTGACGTTAAACCCCATCTCTCTCTCTCTCTCTCTCTCTCTCTTGTATGAAACCTGTGGTGTTCAAAACTTAGATGTTATCCCAATCCATGCATTGTCCACGCAACGTTGGGATATTATCATGGGTTCTTGGCATTCTCCATAAATTTTTGTTTAGGGATGAACTACTTTTTTCTGAATCACATCCAAAAATCTTTTCTTTTTTTAAAGAAAAAAATCACACTTATTGATGATAACAGGAAAGAGTGCACTACTGTTTTAGTTGATATATTGACTTCAGAGGTATCCAGTTACCTGGACATCTGTACAATGTAGTATATAATCATTATTGTAATGAATTAAAATGTGATTAAAATGTTTGTGAACACCTGGGCAAAGGATGTAACAGTAAAATAAATACAGCTAGAGAAAACATGCATTACATATGAAAAAATATTTGAAGTTCCTGTGGGGTAAGACTTGAGGAAGAGAGCTATGCCATACCTACACCTTTGTACAAACATTGGTTAGTTCAGGTGAGAACTATCTGATCGTTAGGACTTCAAAGGTAAATATCAACAGGTGTTTACAGGAATCTCCTGGCTTTACCTCATTCATTTCTTATACATCCAAGTGCTTCAATACCTTCCATGTTTACTGCCAGATAGATGCAAATTATGTCATACATTTGTTAATATGCCCACAGAAATATTGGCATTTATTTAGATCTTGTAAAATGTTTCATGGATGCACAGTTATGTTTTACAAAAGAAAAATGCTTCATTGTTTTCTCAGAGATTATTTAGATTAATAGAAGGGCAGAAATTTTCTGGTCAACATTGCAACCCAGATAGATAAACAAATAAACTACCCAGTTAAAAATGTTATAAATTTATTGTGTACTACTAACAAAGAGAGACATTTAAAGGATTTCATATTGTTATTTGAAATGACATTTAATTATGCAGTTTAAGTACTCTTTGTGTTTATCAGGTAATTGAAGTCGTTTGTATAAAATTATATATTCTACCATTATTATATCTATTAAAATTACAAATCTTTTTTATAATTTTAAGTACAAATTTTATATATATTTTATAGAGTTGTATATCATAATTATATACATGTAAGAAAAAGATAATTGCTTCAAACAGAAATTAATAACGAAATATAATTATCAATAAACCATGAGCCATATCTGACATTCTGCTTTGAAAACACAATCAATTTAGATATTAAAATAAAGCAAGTCATAAAACAAATTTGTTTTCATACAAAGATTTAATTTAGATTAATAAATGCACAACTTTACACTTAACAATAAAAGTTTGTCAATATGTTTGTACAAGTAAATGAAATGGTTTGAACAAACTCAATTCCTTTCATTTGGATTCATAAAACAAAATGTTATTCATTCTTGTGCATGGCAGTGTTTGATTCTTGTAGTTCTTGCAATGTGAAAGTTCAGTTGTTCCATATAGTATTTACTTGATAAATTGATGATTGAACATAACCTGTTTAAGCCAACTCTCCAAGAGATACATTATGTCCTTTGTTTGCTTCAGTAGAAATACTTGCCATTTTGCAGGGATTAATGACTACACAAAGATTGTGTGCATATTTGCTTCTTCGTAAAAACAAGGGAAAATCAAGAAAATTTGACAATCAACCTTGTAGACAAACAACTTCATTGAAGCATTCTGCTGCTGATTCTGCGCCAACATTTCCCCCTGCTATTGCCTTATATTAATGGACTGTATATTGTTTTTAATCTCTATCTGCCCATTTAACTTTGTCATACTGCTTTATGATATCAGTATGTTATGATGCTAAAACAAGAGACCAGAAAAATGAACCAGTCGGAATTTAGAAAAAATAAAAGTGATTTGACAGTAAGAAGACAGCTATATTTTTCTGCAATGTAAAAATTAACATTTGATTTGACGTCAATAAATGTTTTACAGTGAATTTTTGTGGTTTTGACAGCACTTCAGTCATTTCACGTAATGCCTGAGCAAGATTTTTAGTCATTTCGCGTAATGTCTGAGCATGATTTTTACTCATTTCATGTAATGACTGATTCGTTTAGTCATTACATGAAATGGCTGATTACACAGATTGACTGTAACATATATATCATTGGCAATTATCAATCAACTAATCATTAATCCAAAACAATTGATTAGTATTACTCATTGACGCGATTATATTAATTCATAGTAAAATATTTACTGTAAATGAAATTTACAGGTACTGTAATTGAAGACCTTGTTTCCAAATATGGCTATTGAAACACATGTGTTACATTTGAGAAAATAGCCGTTGGACGAAACCTGTTTTGGGGACGAACTGGTTAGACATTTTGTGTTTGTGGTACGAACTGGTGATAGTTGGAATACGCTGTGTTCTGATTGGTTGTTGTGTGCATGCTTTTGATAATCCCATGAATTGTAATTACATGTACTTGAATAAAATCAAAGTGTCCATCGATATCATTGTTGTTGGTTGTTTTCTCTCTCCCATCACGTTTTGTTCATCGCTTTACAGGCCATGATATGGTGAGCTAATAGAATTTTTATGAGCCCAGCCTTTGCATCATCACCATTTTTGGTAGCAGAATGTGGTTGCTGCGGTTATTCTTAATTATAGTTTGTGATGTATTGTTATGAACACTCTAATGGGAGACAAAACTGCACGTGCATTCTATCACCAAGTCAACAACCGACAGTCATCGTCAACAGCCAGGATCATTTTGGTATTGTTAATAATACACTTTCAATTAACTTTTAATCTGGTAATTGTAAAAACATCTCCAAGTAATAATGTCTGAAGCAGCAGTCAATGTGGCAGCAATCCCACTGCCAGAGGATATTGAGTCTGATCGGCTATCTGAATTACTTAAGTAGCTAAGTCTCTAACTCAATATCATCCAAAATCTTCAACATTGAAAACACGATTTATTTGTCAAATTAAATCAACATTCATGTTGTGATCTTACCGGAAAAAGATGGGCTTTTGATATCCAATATTTAAGACAAAATAAACATTTTACCATTGGTACACGAATCGTGTACCATAATGCGCTTCAGCCCCAGTTGTATCAAGAGACTCGAGGGACGAGGCTAGACACATTGCACCAAATGAAAACGGCGTATGTAGACTGGAATAACCAAACGCTAGAAATTTGCACTCGCTTTAGACTGCTGGCTTTAGACTGCTGGCTTATTTCGCCGAACATAACTGATTTGAAATTGGAGTAAATACGGAAACCATTGAATGTAAATCAGTTTATATACATTCATACTACAGTATTATATGTGTTGCGACCTACTTTTGTCAATTTCTAGGTCCCAAATGTTAGCAATTTAGCTCCTTTAAACAGAAACGCTTAGCAAAGTCTCAGTTTACGAAAGCCAAATCTCATCTTACTAGTATTGTTTGTTCTGCCCCAGAAAGTACAGAGCAATTGAAAAATAGTATTGATAATGTGTTAAGATTACAGACCGAAGTTATCAATATACATGTACTATTGTTGTTGTGTGATGTGGACGCTGAACGCTTTGAAGCAGACGCTGTTCAAAAGTTATCAGCACTTTTGTTGAGAGCTTCGGACTCGCTAAAAAGGTGATCAAACATGATAAACAATTTAAGTATACTATTGTCGTTGTGTGATGTGGACGCTGAACGCATTGAAGCAGACGCAGTGCAAAAGTTGTCAGAACTTTTGTCGAGAGCTTCGGACTTGCTAAAAGTGTGATCAAATGTGATAGACAATTTAAGTAGACAAACATCGTCGACCGACCAAGGGCCAGTTGAGCATGATCAAATCAGTTTGACCTCCTCATCCCATCCGCCTTCGATTAGTAACACTTTTCAAATTGATAGAGATATGTACCAACAGCTACAATGTGTATCCATACCAAAATTTAGAGGCAACAAACGAGATTACCCCCTATTTAAAGATGCATTCGAACAATGTATAGATAACGTAAATTGTAGTGACGGTTACAAGATGTTAGAACTCTGACAGTACTTGGAGGCTGAAGCCCTTCACGCAATTGAAGGCTTTTCAGCCACTAAACATGGGTATTCCGCTGCAGTTAGACCCGAAGAGAAGTTCGGCAGTCAACTTTGTACTGTGTTACTCCACCTTGATAGTGTTCATCAAATGAAACCCATCAATTTTAATGATTTAAAACAGTTAGAGGAATTTACTGATAAACTAGGGTGGAAGAATTTGAAGCCAACTCAATGTAATATTCCATTGCCAAATCAAAATTATCACCCTTAAATGTTGCAAATTTTAAGC